CCTCGGCGGACCTCGCCCGGCGTCATTTAACGTTGCACTGTTCCCCGGGTCCGTTCGTGGTCCCCACCTTTGGAAAGAAAAGTGGAGGGCTGCCGCTTCAGCAGAGAAGCAGTGGTGTGGGACGAGGCGCGTGGCCTCCCCGCTGCTCCCTCGTCCTCGTCCCCGTGCGGTGTGGCCGCAGCTCCCGCCGGCTTGCTGGGAAGCGCTTCCAGCAGCGGAGCAGATGTGGGCCTGGGAAAGATGCTGCTGGTCATGTGGCAGCCCAAATGCCAGCAGCAGCTGGAGGGGCAGGGGTGGGGTGGGAGAGAACTCAATGTCCACCCAAGCCCAAATCGTTGCTTCCTGGACTCAACCTTAGAGCCACCACAATGGCTTTGGACAAGCTGTAGATCTACTCCCTTTTGTTTGAAAGTTGGAGTAGGCATCTGTAAAATTCAGTCCAACAGACCCACAGGTTGTGAAGGAATTTGAGCATGAGAAATACTAGTGTAGGGCACTAATGTATATGCTGTGGGATTTTTTTCTGTGAGGAACCTAAGGTATCCTACAGAGTCAGGCAGCTGTCATTCTCCTTTTCACGGAAGGAAGGGTGAGGTATGAGAAGTGCTTTACGGAAAGCTACACAGTGACATGGAGTTCCTTTTCGCCTCCCCCAAGATCTGTGCTCCTACCTTTAAAACTGCTGTTTTCCTAATAAAGTAGAAATAGTAAAACGCAGACAGACAAAACCACATGTTCCACTTCAAGCCATTCTCTGCCTTAAGTTCATTCATTTTTCCCCTAAACATCAGCATTATATTAATGACTAACATCTTCCCCCATCTCCTGATTGTTTTTGAAAGAAAGAAAAGGGGGAAGTCCATTCTCTACCTTTCTTTATGTTCTATGTCTCTGAAAATTTATTAGCCAGTGATTTGCTGTTAGTATTTTTTCCTGTCATTTGCATTCTCATTTGCTCAGCATATTACAACACGCGCATGTTTACTCCTGTTTGTAGATTCAAGACCTCAGCACGGCTCACCTTTCCTGTGGTTTCACAGGTGATGGCTCACCGTTTAGCAAATCATTCTTCTACTGATACTGCAATCAACACTCTCATGGGACTCAGCAGGAGCGGTGTGAGGCCCGGACGGTTACATCTCACACCTAATATTCATAAACACACAGTCACTGAATATGACATTAAATCTTCTCTAGCAATTAGCCTTCCTTATTGATCGGTTCAATGATAATTACACAAGTCAGCTCTCTTCCTGTATCTGGGGTGCTTAGAGTATGTTTAATCATGAATGGCCACCTTACTGAAGTATGTAGCAATCAATGGGTCACAAAACCTGAACCTTGTGCATTCGCAGTTTGTTTTTCTGAAGAGGATAAATTAAAAATCTATTTTCTGATCTTTTCTCAGTGAATTTTACTGTTGTTCTGACTGCCTTATTTCCAGCTATAGATGGTGGGGTTTGTTTCTGGCACAAAAGGCACAAACTATAAGCAAAAAATAAAGCTGCGCTGTCATGTATCTACTTCCAACTTCGCTTATGTGACAGAGTGTTTTATACGCAGGCACCAAAGCCACTAGGAATTGGTAGACTTGATAAATACATCATTGTCCTCAAGTACTCTTTCCTAATGCTGCATTGCATCATGTAGCCTAACAAAAATGTTGTGAAAGTTAATGCTATACCTAAAAACAGCCTCTGAAAAAGGAGGGATGTAGTCCCCAGAGGTGGGTTGGTTTTTTTTCTACAATTAGAGAGTCCTCTTCGGTGAGGCCACGGAGGCAGATGGCAATCACAGCTAGTGTGGGATCATTTGGACATTGGACATAAAGTGGAGCATTGGAAAAACTCAGTGTGAACCCCAAACTGCAAAGTTTTGTGGAGTACCTCATCACAGCCACATCCTTAGGGGGTCCTCACTCCTGTTCCAGGTGAGAACTCCTGCATTCCTAACCTGTGCCGTGTTCTCATTTAAGCTGTTTCTTTCTGGCACAGGTAGACAGCAAGTCCACTGGGCACCAGGTGAGCGGAGAGACCACTGAGGGGACTGTCAGCAGCGATGTGGTTTTATCCAGCGCACCTGCTGTACGTGGAGGGCTTGTAGCTGGTAGCTGAGGCCAGATCGCTTGTCTGTACACACCACGCTCCAGGGGAAGTTTTTTCTCCACTGAGCAAGGGCACTAAATTGTTCCATTTCATCACTATTTCACAACCTGTGCCCTTCATCTCTCTTTGCACCCCCCCAGCCCCCCTGCTATGATCAAAATCAGTATCTGGCTGACTGCTCAAAATGCAAGTTTCCATGTGTTTGATCCATGTTTCTGTCATGTCCTTTATTTATTGATACTAATCCCTGAATCCCTCCTCTATTGTTTGTTCCAAATGGTTGTGATCCAGGATCTGACCTTGCTCGCTGTTCTCACTTTCCCCCTATTTGATCTAATTGCCTCTCTTCTTGCTATTTTGCCTACCTAGTCCTGAAATCGTTCTTTCTTTTCTAGCCCTTTCCCAGCCTGAAAATCTCTCTGGCTCACCAGCTCTGGCAGCCTCTATTACTGTGCTTTGCTTAATTTCAACTTTCCAGCACTTTTCTATGTGAGTTTCACAGATCAGTGCTCCAGAGAGGTGTTAGGCACCCTGGGGTCATAATTAAGGAGGAAACCACAGAGGGCATATCTATTCAAAGGAAGTGGCAGCCCAAAGTCCTCCAGGAAGAAGTCCTGCAAGCAGACGTGCTGGCCCCTGAAGACCTTCCGGAACAGAGAACGTTTTCAGAAGGAACTGGGGGTACATGTTCATCAGCTTTTGGAGTGGGAGAGTCTGGAGCATAGTAGATGAAAGAATACTCTTCAGGGAAGAGAAATCTTCAAAGAACGGAGGTTGTGTCAGGGAGTCACTTAAAGGTTGCCTTAGAAAGATGGATAGTTTTGGAATCCAAAGGAGTATTCAGATTTCCTTAGTTTCAACCGTAACTATTTTATATAAACAGTGCAGCTAGGTCACTTGACACCAACCACCATACGATCCAATTTGCTGGTACACAGTTCTTTGATCTGCAGTTTTCCATGCTTCAGGCTTGCCTCTGATTTTATTTACTTTTAACTTCAACTGCTTTTGAAAAGAATAAAGTTGTCGGTTTGTTGTTGTTTTTTTTTTTTTAAATAAAACACCGGTTTTGCACATGATCAATATATTACCAGTTTTTAACTTAGCAAATACCTGCCTCCTTATGCTTTGAAACAGGATGCGATCCCTGTTTTGAGTACGTCGCTATTCTCAGGAAAAGCTACCTATGCATGTTGAAATTTTGAGTGGCGGTTGTCACCTGTACATTGGACACTTTTTTGCATTCAGCAGACGATTCCTGGAGATGACTTACGTTCACTGGGCGTGCCTCTCACTGTTCCTAGTGTGTAGACGATGGGGTCTGCACCCCTAGCCCTGTGTGCAGTCCACAGCAAAGCATGACTTTCATGCAGAAACTGCTGTTCCCACTTCTTGTCAGTCACTGTGGGAATGAGCATGATAATTGACAGCCGTCTTTAATGAGCCTTCTGGCCATGCAGAGGAGGAAAGCCTTCTGCCCTGAATGTACAGAAGACAAGAAGCAGGGCAGGTAAAAGTACTTGACTGGGATAAAGAGCCTGGGGCAGGAGAAAGGAACAGAAAGAAATCTGGACGGGGCTTTGGCAACGCAGTCCTCTGCCCAGGGTGTGCTCCAGCCCAAGCTTTGCATTTCCCCTGAGCAATTTAACAGCGCAGTTCAGTGATTCATTAAGGAAATAAAGGGCAGGATTCTTTACTTCCTGTCTGTTGGTAGTGAAGAAATAAGAGTTTGGGTCTGGACCTTGGAATAGGTGTGAGTCTGGGCTTTTCCTGATCACTGATAATTGGACTGATACTGCCTCATTCAGTTAACATGTGGGTTTCATTTTTTTTTTTTTATAAATAAGGCTGCACTGCATATTTTTCCATTCTGTTCACTCTGTGCTTTCTCTTACCTTTCCGTCTTTGATTGTGTTTATTGCCCATTTTGAAGGATTGGCTCCCAACTC